TATATATAGTTGGAATAAGAAACATCAACAGGCTTTATAAGTTTGTTTACATTATTTTCAGGTTTAAACATTTGCTAAACTTAAAAAAAACTAAACTATAATCACCTACTTATTTGGGTGTTTGTTGTAAAGCATTATGACCTTATGATCAGGATAAACTTTATTTTGCAGCTTTATCAGCACTATCTYGACTTTTGCAACATTATGCAAGAACAAGTAGAAAAACAAAAGTATAACACGTGGCCTCTATGTGATTGTAGCAGCATTAAAAACAACTCAAGTCATACTTTGAAATGTTCCTCTCTGACTTTTCATTAAGACAAACTCACATCTTTTAATTCTAATAACAATTCCTGATACTTTTCCAACACTGTTTAGTTTGCTGTTGTGCAGCACGATTCATAGGAGCCATGTAGGGGAAAAGAAGACCCTCACAGGACAATATTCTGAAAAATAACTGCGTGTCACCCATGCAGATAAAAACGAGCACAGGATGCTCTCTGCATGCACTGCAGACGTTTGGGCCGCGGTGATTGGCGTGTTGGAGGCCCTGCTGCTGCTGCAGCTCCGAACTGAAATCAGGAAGTGAGTGATAAAGCGCTGGCGCGGCGGAGGGATACACAGACACGCCCCCTTCCATTCTGTCCACGGCSGATATACTCAGTCCTAAAAGCCGCCAGTGGAACTCCATCTAAGGACCGAGCACACTCCGAGTCTGCCTCCACAGACCAACAAGCACACAACCCATCCGACATGGTACGTATACTATTTCATTCCGCTTTTTATTTTTATTTTGAAGCGTATAGCTTTTTATCTAAGGGACTTAATTCATTTGAAGCTACCGGAGTCGATTCAAAAACACGTATTTTCCTTCAGTCGCCGTTCAGCCATTGATTCTCTGTAAGCTAGGTGCGTTTGAACATCTTCATTAAAGCAACGCAAACGCTTAAAATGAGCTGTTTGTCCAACTTGGCGCATTTATGTTGGAAAACGTCGTATTAGGACCGCACACATGCCTCACCAAGTGCGCAATTAGAACATTTGGCGTCGGGACCAGGTTGGTGCGGCTCGGTTTAAAAACGTGGGTTTATCCGCTGTGTGAGGGGGACTGAACCAGTTATTATAGTGCGGTTCTTCAGGCATAAAATAAACCCGGGTGCGTTTTAAAAAACGCCTTTTCGGAGCACAGGCGTGGAGGAGGGAAAAAGCCCAGCCCTGTTGGTGTTTTTAAAGGTGGGGGTAAGGAGGTGGACATGTTTCTGTATGTTTTATTGCCATAACTCCCCCAGCATCATGACACTTTGATCAAACCGAGCAAGTTGAGTTTCCCTGTCTGTGTGTTTCTGGGTTTGCACCATGTTAGTTGTGAGCCGCCCCGTCAATGTTCCGCAACGGAAATGGACCATATTCCGTAATTGTGAGTCCGTGTGTGTTWCTGTTGGACCCTACAGAGAGAGGACATATCTGGACCCAGTCAGTCCCGCCTCTCCTGCAGCCTCAGAAGGGCTGGGTTTTTTTTCCTCTCCCCCTTCATCACAGAGCCTGGGTTATCTATTTGGGCTGATTTGGTTGCCTATTTGCAAATTCTTCGATGTTATGCAAATATAGCAGCAGTACGGCTGGTCCAAGGAGCTCTTTGTGGCACAGGTCACTGCCAAAAAATAAAATAAAATCTACTGACTGGGAACCAACATGTTAACCATATACATACAACTAAACCAGCTGTTTCCAAGACATTCTCGTTGCAGCTTCCTGACGTTTTCCCAGCAGGCCTCAACGTGTTTCAACAGATTTCACCGTCTCCACCACCTCCCTACGTCATATAGGAAGAAGTCAGGGTGGAAATGATCTGGTACAAGAAGCCTGAGGGAGTCGAGAAGCCCCCCCTCCCACCCCCCTTCCTGCTCCTTCCCTCTGCTGCGATCAAATAACCCACATATGGTATCGAGCTACGGTCTGGTTTCGTGTTGCGACGCGGCGCGGTAATCGGAGTGTAAARTGGAATTGTTGTGGAGCTCGCCTTGCCCACCAGCACCTCTGAAAGGGGTTTGATCCGTGGCCGTACGCCCCTCGTCTGCTGCAGTGGGCCCATTGAAGCAGAACCCCCCCCACCACTACCACCACCATCCGCTCCAGTTGAACTGGAAGTATCAAATAAGTAGRGCCGACTTAAGGCCCTATCCTGTTCCTCTGGTTTGCAGGTGCAGGTTTAGTAAGTTGAAGCTCATCTGATCCGCTCCGGTGAATAATTCATAGCAACTCCTCGCCGCATCCTGTGTTGCTGGTGTCTCGGGTGGGGGGGGATTGTGTCCCCCACCTCCTCCCGCCCGTCTGCGGCGGCGTGGAGGGAGGGAGTACCCGGCYGCCTGCCACCACCGGCCATATGTCGCGTTAGGAGCGCGGTGTTATTTACACCCGCCCCGCCTCTCCTCTCCGCAGGCTCTGTCCATCTTTTGTCCGAACGGACGAGGCGTTCAGGGCTCTGTTCTGCTCCATGGAGACGGGAGCGTGTCACACCGACACTGTGTCTTTGTGTGTGTGAACGTGTGTGTGTGTGTCACACCCATCTGTCAGAGTGACAGCTGCTTCTCGCACGGTCACTATGGAGATACTGCAGAGAAATAACACGTTAAACTTTAATAACGCATTAATGGAGAAGGTTTGTGTTGGGAGTTCACTTTTCATTCAGCATCTCCTACTTAATTACACTTTTATGGACAGAGAGGAGTCAAAGTCCAGTCCTCCTGCCTCCTAAAGACCAGTTTGTAGTCTGTTGCCCCGTGCAACATGGCCTGAATAGAAAAACCTCCTCGTTCCACACACAGACCCTCCTACAAGTTGTTTTAAGACTCAAAGGCTGGCAGAGAACAAGCTCTGCCACTGGTGAATCACAGGGAGTTTCCTCTCAACAGAGTGTCACGTATTCTGAGAAAAAGACAGGAACTCTCAGAGACTAAGGTTAGATGAAAGGGAGAGGGGAAAATAAAATCGCAGGCAGCAKCAGAAGGCCTGAGCAGCTTTGGGTCGAAGCCAGGCGAGGATCCATAGCACTGAGTCACCAAACTGCACACCCTGTCCACTCTGAGAGGCGGCAGCAGCAAGGGTGGGTGCTGAAGGAGGCAGGAGTGACACAGCAGGACAAGAGCGGGTGACTGAGGACAGCGAAGAGCTGGAAATCTGCATCGGGTTTTGGTCTAGCCGATACAAATGTCTTTGTCGTAGAGGCCGTTGGGAAATTCGATGAAAACTGGGGACGAGCATCCCGTCGTCACAGAGTTCAGGCTATCGAATCAGGTCATCGCAGTTTTCCACGAACACCGATTCAAATCGATCTGAGCCACGAGGAGTGGGGCTTTTTTGTTGGAAAATATAAATAAGAATAAGTCATGTGGTCGTCTGCTAAATGCCAATTCAGTKAAAACTAATCGAGTAATTTATTTATCTAAATGTAACACTCTCTCGCAAACTTCTAACACAAGGAACGATTTGTTTCTTATTTTTCTTGTAAACACATAAACAAGATGATGTGGGGGGGCTAGTATTGAAGCACAACGCTGACTAATTCACAGGAAACATGGAAATGGAAAGTATTGGTGTGGAGGAAGGTTACCATTAGCAGCTCTGTGTGTGTGCTCGTTTAGAGAACAGTACAATGATGTCAGAGCGCTCAGTTAACTGTGATCATAAAAATACTTCGTTTTTTTACAAGGCAGGGATGGGAGTCATTTGCACCAGTAGTTTGTCTGTTCACACTTTACAGCTCAAGTTGTTTAAAGTGAGATCCTTTATTTAGTTGTTTTAGGGAGGTGTGGATACTTGTCTCCAAGCTGTTTTTAAAGCCTGTGTGAGTCACAGTCAGCCATTATGGAGCCAAAGCAGGGCAACCAAACCACACAGGTTCAACAGGGTTGTGTTTAGCCTAAATACTCCCTCTGGTCTGGGGACAGCCTCTCACCCATTAGCGGTCGTGACGGGGTCTGGTTTTGGAGCGAGTCTGAAGTTTGTTAAACTGAACTCCTCAGCTTCGTTTTCCACCAAATATAAAATTTTCAGCAGCTTTTACAGCTTTTTGGGCTTTCAGGAGGTCATTAAATGAGGAATGTAATGATGAAACATAATTGTTGAGTAACTCGTTCTTCCTCTTTCTGTATCTACCCACAGGCTGACCAACTAACAGAGGAGCAGATTGCAGGTAATACCCCACCCCCCCACCACCACCAATCAGTCCCAACCTTTGCTCTTTGTACAATTGTTTACTGGCTCYTGTCGTGGATTAGCTCCACCCAGCTCTGCTCAATAAAGTTTTGCAGTTGTGTAAGGTAACGTCTCATTAGCCGTTTTCTGGCACGTCACATGAAGTGAACCGGAACGTCGAAGGATTTGGCAGCCCCCCCCCCCCTCCTCCCTTGGCAGATCATTAGCTTTTCAAAACGAGYGGGACATAAGGGGATGAAGTATTCACAGCTATCATGAGTCAGGCCTGAAACCTACAAAGCTGCAATAAATACGGTTTTTCAGCCAAGTTTAGGAGCCGTTCCAATCACAGAGGCACCTTTGTGTTTATGTAAAGAAATGATGTGGGCTTTGTTCTAAAACTGGAAGCTTCTGTTCCTGATCAGCCAACAGCCCCTCTGTTGGTAATTAGCTTGTGCTAAGACCCCAGAGCTAGCATGCTTTTTGTTGGAAGTATCCTACTGAAAAAAGGAGAAAAAAGAGATTATGTTGGCTTTCTCTCACTCAGTTTTCACTCTTCTGCTTTTGCCTGTTATGTTGATATGACTCCCACCAGGTGTCAGCGCCACCTCTTTTTGACAGACCCAAACARATTCACCCCCTGTGTTCTTACATCTCGAGCAGAAATCAATTAGCTCCACGGTGCTTCAGTACAACCGGCACACCGCAGCAGTCTTAACGCTGCTCTTCCTCTTCCTCCCCTGCAGAGTTCAAGGAGGCTTTCTCCTTATTTGACAAGGACGGCGATGGAACCATCACCACCAAAGAGCTGGGCACTGTCATGAGGTCGCTGGGCCAGAACCCCACAGAGGCCGAGCTACAGGATATGATCAACGAGGTGGATGCTGACGGTCAGTATGCTTTGGTTTTGATGGTGGGCACCTCACAGTTTGATTACAGAGTTGTGACGAGATTATAAAATTAAAACATTTTAATGATCCTAAAGCACGAATTACTCTTTCTACAGTATAAACGCTTATTTTTATGCTTAATGAATGCACAACATGTATCAAAAACTGTTATTCACAAGTTGCTAACCAACACTAAGCATAGATGCTAACGTAACAATGAAGCCACCATAGAAAAGCTAATTCATTACATTATGTTTTATTCAGTTTCATTTTATCTTTCCACCATTTTTACATTAATTGTACAGCACCTTGTGAATATATTTCTGTGAAAGGTGCTTTATAAAKAAAACTTTACTTACTTACTAATTCAATTAGTGTTGTATCAATCACTGGAAATTTAAACACAAATGTTTCAAGTCATGATAACTTCAGTTATTACACACTTATAATCTTCAGGGTTCTGGAGAATAGAACTGTATAAAACCACAGCTTTACTGCAACATGTTTCTACTACAGGAAGCTACGCTAGCTCTGCTAGGTAGGGTTGGGCAATATTGACAAAAAAATWAATCACGATTAATTGGGGTGTTYAGCAGATAACGATTAATTTGACGATTAATCCCCTGGAGTCCCTGGACACCCTTATTTCCTAGTCACATGACCAGTTTAGTGGGAAAGATTTGCCATTTGTAAAAAAATTTTCCAAATTGTGTGAAAATGCAGATTTCAGGCTATACATCATATTTTAAATTGCGTTTATAGATAAATAAATTACAGAACTTTTATTTTTAACGTTTGTCATATTTGAAGCGGAGAGGAGCAACGAGCGGACTGACCGGAATAATCACCAGTCGGTCTGCCTGGTGGCATTAATTGTATTAATCGTCAAATGCCAAAAAGTAATCGATTAATGTTTTTCTGACCATTAATTGCACACGATACGATTATGCCCAACCCTACTGCTAGGACAAACAGCAACAACTCGTCTGCTGACTGGCTTAAATGGGCAGCACAGAAAAAATGTTAACAAAATCAAATTTTCCAACCATCCATAATCTTTTCCCACTTCTTCCTTTTCGGGTCACTGGTGCCCGTGTCCAGCAGTCAGTGTGGGGTACACCTGAGACGGGTTGCCTGCTGGCAGTACTGAGTTTTCTGTGCAGTGTGTTGTAAAATAAGTACCAAAAATGTTTCTGTGGAAATGTGTGTGTGTGTGCGCGCACATGTATGCGTGCTCCACTGATGTCAATAAATTACTCTGATTTTACAAGGGAGGGAGGGGTAAGGGTTTTAAAATTTAGGTTAATATGATCCTCTCCTGCAACGCCTCATTTTTAATCAACTAAATGACCAGAAACTACAGGACTTAAATAAAAACGAGCATAACCCAATTTTCTTCAAAAAAAAAAAAAAGCACAGGAGTAGGTTTAAGAATTTATTTCTAATGGTGTGTGTTGAGGGGGATTACAACCCTGATTTTACGTCGTTGCRTGATTTTAGTGTTAAAGCCCCCGTTACAATCGCACAGGGGGATTAGCTTCAGCRTCCATTATTCTCCCGTCTCTGAACACATCAGCACTGTTGTTGACCGTCTCCCTCCATTTTCTTTCTGCCAACTGTCCAAGCCAACTGTGCAGCCGGTTATTGTCAAATGATGTATCCTCGTGTCAACAGTCCAGTTAGTGTGTGTGTGTGTGTGTGTTCAGCTCCATCTGAGTTATGGATGAGCAGGTGGAGGTTTCACAACAAGCCTTGTTACTGGTCTTGCTGAGGGCTCGTTATTCTCTCCTGTTGACTCTGTCCTAGTGTCAGAAAAGAAGTTGAAGCTACAAAGTTGTTTTCACACACACTCACTCACACACACACACTGTCACTCATCGTCCTTGGGATGTTCGCTGTCAGATGAACCTGTACCTCCGTGCTGCTCTGTCAGCTTATAGGATTTCGTAATGGGACCACATTGATCAGCAGAAATCAATTGCACCACGGTTTGGCTGCCCCTTTAGTGAAAGATCCTCTCTCCATCCTCACTGTCACCACACACACACACATACACACACACACACACATCATCACTAAAATCCCCTTGTTCTGCCTCTGCCTCCCTTGGCTGATGCAATCTAGGTCAGACAGCAATGAAGCTAGTAATGGAAAATAAAAGTGGTTACATAAGACCTCTCTGTGCTCCGCACATCCAGTACCCACATCAGCAGCCATTGGATGTCAGCTGGCCCGTTGAAAATCAGCTTTATTTACCAAACAAGGATGCTGGGGCAAAGAATTAAAATGGACGCAGTAGAGGATGGAGGGCAGACAGGAAGCTGCTGAAAGAAATGATGGAGCCAGGCTGGGCTTTATCACAGATTCCTACTCTTCCCTCGTGATGCGAAGAGTTAAAACTCCACATCACCCATCATTACACAACCCAGCTCTCCTCCCTGAGGTGCAGGACGGAGGTTATGATGTGGGAATAAAATGATGACCAGTGCGCCGAAACGCTTCAGCCATCTAAAGTTTACGTCAGCACCTCTTCTGTGTGATCGCACCATCTCCCACTCGGTTCATCCCTTACATTCTCTCCACTTCCCATCTCCCTCTCTGCCGCCCACTCACTTCCTTCTGCCCTCTTCTTTTCTTTTTCCTTCCACCATTTTCTCAGTCATCCTCCTTCGCTCACACAAACCTCAGCTGAGCGTTCCCCCCTCCCTCCCTTGTTTAGATTGTTTTTTTTTTCCCTCCAGTGGCAGCATGTGTTTCCTCGACGCTGCCGGATGTTTCTGCGTTAGATAACAGCTCCTCAGACAGTTACCTCTGGCCACGAGATCACCATCTGCCCCATCACATCACCTTTTTTTTCTTCTTTTTAGTTCCACACACRTCCACTTCTCTGTCAGCTCTTTATCTGTATTTCTAAGGCGTGTGCTCACATTGGTTAATCTGCCTGCAATCCCACCGCAGGGCTAATCCTTACAGGGCTTTCACCCTTGGTGTCCCTGACCTATTTCCCCCAATACTACGCATTTCTTGTCGTTTGTTCAAGTTCCCACCTGGTCATACGACGGTCGACTCTGCAGAAACAAACCGTCTCCATTTTTGTCTTTTTTGTTTCTTTCTGAGAAAGGTGAGCAGGCTCACGGATCCTTACACCATCAAGACGGTCTGATCCCCTTCTAATCCTGTTGTGACAACAGCTACATAGACAGTGATCCTACAGCGGTAGTTGTCTGCGCCACATGAAGCACCACCCCTGAGTCGAGATGAGGCAGGAAACGAGGACAGAAAAAACTGATTTGTGGAGGAATTTTTATGATGAGGGTTGGAGCATCTGGTTTGAAGTGCCCTTGACGTCCACCCCACCCCCTTCTTCTCTCGCTCTCCCCTCCAGCTGTTATTTCCTCTGGGCCACCAGAAAAGAGGAGCTCGTGATTCATGCGGGGCCCTTAAAGGCCGAGATGTGCTGGAAACTAAATGTCTACATTATGGATGAATGACCATGAGGTCTCCTCTCTGTGGTCCTGCTGCTTTAYGTATAATGTGTGAGATTTTCCCAGGGCTTCCCTGAGGAACACACACACAGCCCTCTCAGCCTGTAGTCGCTGTGTTTATCACAGTGGGATGGTGGATACTAGGGCTGCCACGATTAGTTGATTAGTCGATGACTAATCGATTATTAAAATAATCAATGACTAATTTAATAATCGATTAATCGTTTTCTCTTTTTTTTCTACTTTGTTTTTCTCTCCAAACTACTTTGACACCTTCCACTGCCACATCTGCCTTTCTGTCCTTGACACACATGCACAGTAGTGGTAACTGGGCTAGGCTGTGGACGTCACAAGACATTATACAGACAGGCTCTGGTATCATGG